AGATACACACAACACCCCCGCACACACACGCACACACACAACACAAACACGCACACACAGTCGAGTGCACTCTGCTAACTAAATTTTGCGCTGCGTACGCGACTCAGTGGAGTGCAAAAGGCATTGGACTGACTTGGACTGACTTATGGCAAGATAAGCAGCCGAGTTTGAGTTACAGGTTAATTTATTATTGAAACTAATGTTGGCAGTCCAATGGAGTTGGTGTGCAGGTGGAAGGGTGGCGGGTGGCTACTGGGGGTAAATGAGGGGCGTGCCACTGTCACTGCAGGTGCCATGCTGACGTCGCCGGTTTGGTGAGTCACTTGTCGGTCGGCTGGCTGTGACGGGGCCGGGAACTGGGGCGGGGACGGATGCGGAGGCGGTGCACTGGGTGGCAGCCAGGCGGGCGGTAGGCTGGAAGCGGGTCTGCAGCGAAAATTATGAAATTCAACTTGACAAATGTCACTGACATTAATTAAACGTTGAGATATGGCAACAGCAGTACAAGAGCGCCAGGGTGTCTGGCATGGAATGATGCCTTTAAATGATTTAAGCGAGCACTGGAAACTTAACTCCATTGCAATCTTGCATTTCACAGATGAAAAATCAATAAGCAACTTGTAATTGAATTGCAATCGCAATTCAATTGAGCTTAATTTGTACGAGAAAATCACCATTTGGCTCGTAAGGAAATTGCTGAATGAAATGCCATTCCTTTGCTTTAGGCCAGCGATGCCTTAAATTGTGTGCCAGCAACATTTAAAGCAGCCGACGTCCATTTCTTATTTTTTTGTATTTTCAGTTTTTCGCTGAGCTTTTTCGCACACTTCGCCAGCTTCCGCTTCCGGCGGCAAGCAAAGCAATGCAAACACAGCCCACGCTCTACTTTTTCCACTCTCATCCACCCTCTCCCTCTCTCTCTTTCTCTCTCTCTCTCTCTGTCTCTCTATGCTTTTTGTTGTTTTCTGGCATAAAAATCATTAAACTGATTTATATTCCGTTTGATTCCCTCGTTTCCCTCGACTACGCGTCATGTGTGCCCGTCGCTCTTTCTTTTTTGATACCCTATTCCCAATCGTGGGGTGTTTTGACTATCAAATTTGTAATTTTTTCTATTCCTTAACATATTTATCTCAATGCACAACTGCTATTCCTGACGATCTAACTAACTACTGATGATTGGCGGGAAATGGGTGGAAAGTTGATGCATAACACCCAAAATGGACAAGGCTGAGATCAAAACGCGAATTGGGTTATTTGGATTCTTATACATATGCTAACGGATGCGCTCTATATCTATTTTTTTTTTAGGCCGAGAAAAATCTCAAGAAGAAAAGCAGATAATTATAATAAATATTCTATTAAATATATATTTTTTCTTCTTACCTATTACGAACGGCTAAAAAAGAAGAGTATTTGTTGCAGTTAGGCAAAGAAAAATATAAAGGTTCAGCTAGGACGTTATCTGATTTCTTAAAATCGATAAATATCGTTTTCCAACACTTGTTTGTTTAAGACATCTCCGAGATCATAAAAGCTATAGAAACGTAAAAAACGGTAGCTTCGAGCTGAGTACAAGGCATCTCCTTGTTTTTATTAAACTTTAACTTAAATCCAATTCTAATAGTTTAACAAATATAAAACACGTATTTAGATTATATACTATTTTAAAATTTTTTTTTCCGTTTTAAATTGATTTAAATTCACAAATTAACGTTTTTAAAAACTTATGCTTATGAAAGATTACATGTATGTATTCAAGTAGAATATATAGGGTATTACAAAGTCGGATATTCACGTGCTTGTTGCTCTTGTGCCGATGCCTGAACTTGAGTTCAAGTTTGATAAAAGGGTCGCTCGACAGACCATGCCCATGCCCAGTGGCAGAGACCCATACGAAATTCGATAATTCAAGTCAATTTCGCATGTGTCGGGGTCGCTCAAGGGTTAAGTGATTTCTTTTGTTTCTGTTTTTCTGCTTCTTCGTCTTGTTTTCCCTCTTGTTTAATGCTACGCATTTAGTCAACTGTAAAATAAAGTCGCATAAATAAGCAAGGAAAGCACATGAAAAATTTAAAGTTTTACGCACAAATAATTTAAATTTTGAAACTATTGATTTTGTTCAGAGATAAACCTAAACCCACCCCCCCCCCCCCCCCTCACTCTCTGTCATTCTCTCTTGCCTTCACTCAGGCTGGCAGTGTTGGCTAATGCGCTGCAGGCGTTGACCAATATCAAAAAATGTTGACCCAAAATGTTTGCACAGTTGTTGCCTTCGGTTAACTTACCTTCCCCTTTCCTCCCCCGCCCAAAAAAAGCCAGCGCACTTGTCATCCCCGCAGCCCCGCAGCCGCCCACCATCCGGCCCCATACCGAGCCACCTTCCACCTTGAAAGGGTTGTCGTTACAGAAATTCAATTCAATTTCGTTGAAATGTTTTATTATATGTATGTATATTTTGTCGTTGCTGTTGTTGTTGTTGTTGTTGTTGTTCCGACTGATTTTAATGTAATTGCCGGTAATAGCAAACACTTTTTATAGCCTAACAAGTTGTTGTCGTTGTCGTTGTTGTGGCCTGGTTATTGCTGCTGCTGTTGTTGTTGTCGGTGTGCCACGCTTAATGTTTGTTTGATCATTTTTCGTATCCCAAATTGAATTCTAATTTAAAATTAATTTTCATGTGCTTGTGGATATAGATATTGATAGCATATAGTATCGCACCATTTAAGCTGCAAAGTGTAAAGTTGTGCAAATCGCAAGTGGGCTAAAAATGTTAATCAATGTTTCGCATAGAAATTTAGCTTCGAGTTGGGTTTTATTTAGTGTGGCTAGCTAAATTACGTTAACGACATTTATTTGACCTTAAAGGATATCTTTGCCTGAAGAAAAAAACTGTCTGCATTTAAGTAAGGAAATAGGTCAGATAGACAATCTATTGAAATTAATGTTAAATTCAAATAATTGTTAATATTAATAGTAATAGCTTTTAGGCGAAACAGCGAAAGCTATTAACTTTTTTTAATATAACAAAATTTAAACGGAAACAAAGAAAAGGCCTCCCCACAACGCTACGAAGCACAAATACCCTTTCTTTGGATTGAATGAATATGTCTTTTGGGTAGCTTTTTCGCATGCGTACATTTGTACCTACAGCATTTTCGCTGGGCACGAGATTGGCTGCCGGTTCAAGGCAAGTTGTTGGTAATGAAGTCGTTGATAATTGTCTTTGATGTGCCTCGAACAATGTTGGACGCGTAGAGCAAGAGGCCGTCGCACACGTACGAATCTACGTTTTACTTACAGTCCATCACTATGATTTCTTATCAATTTGATTATAATTGAAAACATCTAACATACTACATCTACTTCATTGATGGTTATCGTGAGGATTCCAGAAAATACGCCAAAACATGTGCTGCGACAAGTTTCGACAATTTTATCAATGAAAAGTGCAATCAATAGACTCTATTCTGCAACTGACTAATTGTCCAATAGCTAGAAATTCTATAAGCCATACATATGTTTGGATATCAAATGGATAATAAGTGGATTTCCGCAAGAGTAAAATCATGTACCCAAAAAACGAATTACTTAGAGGTTTTAAATGAGATTCGAGTTCATTTGGAACATGAATCGCTGAAGCTGGTATTCATTAATTTTTTATGTAGAGCTTTGAAAAGAAGTTTGAAGCAAATCGGACAAAACTTACAACATAGCCCAAAGAATCGTTGAGTCACATTTTCGTTCGAGGAAGCTTGGATTCTGTGAAAAGTGTGAAACACGTCTCAAATGATTTTTCGTATAGAAACGTCACCCACCAAATCTTTGACTTCCATTTCCACTAAGGAGGGATGGATTTTCTAAATAGTGTGAAACACTCCTATAATTAATTTAAGCAAAGATCTTTGAAATTAAGTCGGATGGTAAACAAAAAATTTGCATACATACATTTTTTGCGAATTGTCTCAACATGTACCTTCATCAAATAAGATAACTACAGTGAAAATTTCAGCTTCCTAACTTACCAATCCACGAATTTAAAAGCATGTTAGATGAAAAATATTTTTGCTATTTATTTTCCGCAGTCAGTCAGTTGGCCAGCTAGTCAGTCAGTCAATCAGTATTGTATACCTCGCTTAGTTGCGGGTGTAGGGATTTAAAAAATGTAATGACAAATTCTAATACTGAAATACTTGCGACCACAATTCAATTCAAATTACTGCGATGCTTAGTTGTTCTCATCTTTGTGTTTCGGTATGCTGTGTGTGCGTGTGTGTGGCAAGCATCTAATTAATTAAACAATTGTAAATTCCTTTGATAAATTAACGTCACCAAGCACTGACCACACGCACAGAGACCAAGAGTGAGGGAGAGAGAGGGTGAGAGATGTGCACACAGAGGAACGCATGGTCTAGATGGGCGGAGAATTCAGGGGTCCTCGACAGAGGACCTTCACTCTGTTGCTGGTTATTGCAATATTAATGCAAATGTTGGCCTGACAATGTGTCCAATTGCAAACAGGATGGCACTGTTTTGGCACTTAGTGACTAAATTGATGTTAATTTGTGTTTGCGGCTTGGTAGGAAGGAAGAAGTGTTCCGTTTGTGAAATTTCCGAGTGCGAACAATTAAATAAATTAAAAAAAAAAAAAAAAGAAGTCAGCGCTCACCAGCAGCAGCAAGTAATTTTGATAAGATATGCCAATGGGCAAGACATCAAAAACAAAAAAATACTTACCGCACAGCATCTCGAACAGCAGTCAATATCAAGGTTACAACGGCTGGCAGCATCGTATCAGACATCTATCTAATAAACATGTCGATAAAGCACAAAACAATACTAATGTACTTCAGATGCCTATCGGCACACTGGCGCTACCATATAAAAGCGACTGCCCCCGACGATATTGTCATTTTAGTAAAGCACTCTTTGTGCCAAGTCTTCTGGTAGCCCAAGCAAACACAACAGGAATAGCTGTCAACGCTCTCAACTCCTTGAAGATGAGAGCTCATTACGGTATGAAACTGCAAATGGTTTTACCAGATGCAAGGACTAACCCTACCTATATCCGTCTAACCCCTTTCTAGTCCTTGCCTGCCTGGCTATACTGGTGGCCACCACGGGTGCCGCCAACATAAGGCCCTCAGTGACAGCCGTAAATAACCAGTTGTACCGCCGGTTTGTTTGCGTGAACAAGTCTAATGGATTCCGTGCTCTGGTGCCTGGTAGCTGCTCTAAATACTATGAGTGCCAGAATGGCGTCGCCATGGAGACCACTTGCTCGCGTTTCTTTGATCCTAAGGTGCAGGGATGTGTCACCTATAACACTGGATGCGTAGAGGTCATGCAAACATCAGCTACAGCATTGATTGGTGGTAATTCCGGCACTGCCGCAGAACCATGTGCAGAAACAGTAACCACTACATGTGCCCCGCCCGTGACTACCACCTGTGAAACGACCACCCCCTGTAAGCCAGAAACGGCAACTACCACATGTACAACGCCAACAACAACCACTTGTTCAACAGTGACAACAACCACCTGCACAACACCAACAACAACCACGTGCACGACACCAACTACAACTACTTGCACAACACCAACAACAACTACTTGCACAACACCAACAACAACCACCTGCACAACACCAACAACAACCACCTGCACAACGCCAACAACAACCACGTGCACAACACCAACAACAACCACCTGCACAACGCCAACAACAACCACGTGCACGACACCAACAACTACCACATGTACGACACCTACAACAACCACGTGCACAACGCCAACAACAACCACGTGCACGACACCAACAACCACCACATGTACGACACCTACAACAACCACCTGCACAACACCAACAACAACCACATGCACGACACCAACTACAACTACTTGCACAACACCAACAACAACCACCTGCACAACACCAACAACAACCACGTGCACGACACCAACTACAACTACTTGCACAACACCAACAACAACCACCTGCACAACACCAACAACAACCACGTGCACGACACCAACTACAACTACTTGCACAACACCAACAACAACCACCTGTACAACACCAACAACAACCACGTGCACAACACCAACAACAACCACCTGCACAACACCTACAACAACCACTTGTTCAACGGTGACAACAACCACCTGCACAACACCAACAACAACCACTTGTTCAACGGTGACAACAACCACCTGCACAACACCAACAACAACCACTTGTTCAACGGTGACAACAACCACCTGCACAACACCAACAACAACCACTTGTTCAACGGTGACAACAACCACCTGCACAACACCAACAACAACCACTTGTTCAACAGTGACCACAACCACATGCACAACAACCACATGCATTGTACCAGAAACAACAACGTGCACACAACAAACAACCACCATTTGCCCTCCTGCAGCATCGGGCAGTAAGGTAAGACCCTCGTCTGTCCATGTGAGACCCGCCGCGAGACCGTTCCACAGCCCTCTGGCCGAGACACAGCAGCAGCCAATGGAGATGGCCTCGGCAACGAACGAATTGAGCATGAACCTTTACACCAGCTACGTGTGCCGCAACAAGCCCGACGGCTTCATGCTGGCCTCCCTGACGAGCTGCAACAACTATTATATCTGTCGCTACGGCAAGCCCCTGCAAGTTAGCTGCGGCAAGAAGTACTTCAACGCGCTGAAGGGCATCTGCGATCTGCCCGAGAACACACGCTGCGTACAGCCGCAGGCTTGAGCGAGTCGCTCACCCGTTGACAGCACTCCCCATGCACAGGAATGACTAACTCCACCATCTTTACAAATATAATTAACTACCTTATAAAAGAGTTGTATCTACTGATTTAAATATCACAGAAATGCAAATGCTAATACAGGCCATAAAAATGCAAATTGCTTGGGTTTTCAGTTCATCAGATCTTTCTTTTTCGATAAGATCCAAAGTTACAAACAAATTACAAATTAGATGCAGATGTACCATTCAGTGTGGTCTTCAGTTTGAAAATATAATCAATATTTGTTATTAAACTCTTTTTCCAAATTTCTGTACGAGTCTAGTGTATTCGATCCTTAGATAACATCAGAACTTTGAAATGTAAATCAACACAATTTTACCTTGTGGGGTTAGTGTTTTGAAGATTCCCTAGAGTTAGGGGCGAGCTAGAGTTTTTAAAAAGATAAATAATTTTTAGATTCTTTTACAAAATTAGAAAAGGGCTAACCCAATTTATGATAAATTGCAGTTCTTTTCGGTTTCCATATTTTGTACTCTAACTAATACAGATCACATTCGCTCGAGCACAAAGCGGACCAGTTAATTGGATCTCAGAAAATAGAGCACAACACCAGCTACAACTACTTGCACAACACCATCTACAACTACTTGCACAACACCAACAACAACAACGTGTACAACACCAACATAACATTTTTTATATCAATAGATTCTTTGAAGAGGTTTACCTTTTGATAATCGGGATTTGTTTTATCAAGTTATTGTCATTTAAAATGTATGAAAAAAAGCCTGCATATTTGACATCAATTTTCTCGCATAAACAGCAATTCACAAATTGCAGCTGTACACAATTCACAGTGTGCATCAATGTGCAATTGTCTACTGGGGTCAAACTAATAAAGAACTCATTTACGCGAGTGCAAAGCGAACTACAAAAATTTGGCGCACAGATAATGGAGCAAGGCTCGTCTTGAACCGCCTCTATCCATAAGCAGATAATGCCTTAGCACGCGTACATACATATTTGGCGATTCTCTCGGCGTTTGTATGTATGTGTGGATGTGTGTTTTCGTGAGTGAACTCTGCTTATGCTTGTGTGCGGTTGCTTAAGCTTTATCTACCTTTGAATGGCGCTCACAAGAACTTTTATTGTTACCTATCGCTCGAAAGATGAATTTATCTTGAGATCATTTGCTTGCGCTAATTCCTGTGCGCCAAGAAACAATTGTGGATGTATGTATGTACATATGTAATGGCAAAGCGAAAGTAAAAATATGTATATACGTATGTATGTATATGCGCAATGGTTGGGTGCACAGAAACTGTAGCTCTTATGTCTTGATTTCATTCAACATTCGTCAATACATATCGTTTTATAGTTATGAAAATGAAAACAAGAGGCTACTGAAATTGTGAGTTAGTTGATTAGAGAAACCCCTACGTTTACTTGAATTTGTGGCGATGCCGGCTACCGTCATATTTAAAGCCACGCTTTATTTTAATTAAGCTACCTTTTTATTTAAACACATTTCTTAGAAGGCAACTATTAAATAAAGTACATACAGTAATTTAACATACATCATATTATACTCACACAATCAGCAAAAACAAATTACGACTGTGCAGAATATCATCTGCATAAATATCACGACATATTGTCTACTGGGGTTAAACTGGAGTGCCTTGAGCAAACGAAAAAACTGGCGCACAGCAAATAAGCAGGTGATCGAAGTTCTATTGAGAGCGTGTCACAATTGACCAGCATATACACCCACACCAACAACTGTATGCGCGGCGAATCGTCAAGGCCAGAGATAATAACCAAAGCGGGTACCTGCTTGTGGTGAGCTCGGTTGTGCGTCTCTACTTTTGCTCATACATACATACATACATACATATTGGGCGATTCTCTCTGCATACACATGTTTGAGCGTGTGTATTCTAGAGTGGCCATCTAGGTATGCTTGCATGTGGTTGCTTGTGCGTTATCTAGCTTTGATTCACGCTTATCTTGCGATCATCTGCCTGTTCTAATTTCTGTGCGCCGAGAAGTATTAGGCTAAGCGAAAACATGCATATGTGCATACATACATATGTATGTGTATAGGCAAATATGCCTGGGCATAAAAGCTCTCCCTATCTTTTGGCACCTCTGCACATTTGTCCGCTAGTTGGGAGTTTGATAATCAGAGCTGACCCCTACCGTGGTTGACTTCGTGGTACTGCTTCTAACGTAATAGTTAAAGCCAAGCAATTTTTTAATTTAACTACTTTTTATATTTAAGCCGATTAAATAATTTAAAAATAATATTTGAAAAAAAGGAAAGGGGCGTTCATAATATATTTTATTTCAATTGGATATTTAACATTATTAACATTAACATTATATTCTCGTACAACCAGCACAAAAATAGAAATAATCTTGTCTAGCGCAGCAAAAATTCGTGGAGGCGCGATGCATAAATAGATAATGCACTAGCAGAAATATATACATACATACATACGCACACATTTGGCGATTATCTCTGCATTCATATGTACATGTATGTATGTATGTTTGCGTGTATACTTGTGTATCGTTCTCATGCGTTATCTACCTTTGAATGGCGCTCAGCCGAGTTTATGGTTTGCGTGCTCAATATACATACATACATACACACATACTGTGCGTTGATTTTTGTTCACTTTGCGACTGCGCAACTAAATTCTGCTTTAGTTTAACGCCTGCAGTCAGTCGAGTAAAGCTGTATAATAATATTAGAAGTGAAATTTCTCGGGTAAATATCGTCCGTGTGGTATTCGTTGTGGCAATTGATTCATCAAAGTAGCAAAATCTGGGTCGGCACGAAAATCAAAATATAGTGTTCTGTGGATTTTAAAGACATTTCGAATCATCAAAATCGGATTTAATTTCATGCATAGGGAGCTTTTCAAGGTTAATAAGCAAATAATTAATATACATACATATAATTTAACAATAACAATTGTGAGTAGAAAATTAACAAGCATGCATATGTTACACACATATACATTTGTACATATGTATTTGTTGCACTTCTTGTGATCGTTCTCTTTGTTTTTTATTCGCTTTGTGCCTGCGCAAGAAATATTCTTGCTCACAAAAATTCAGGAGAGCGCAACGCATATGTACATATGTATGTATATAATGCACAAGCACGCATATAATCATACATTTTTGACGATTCTCCCTGCATGTTGTCTATTTGTGCATGTGTGTGATTGCCTGTTCGTTATCTAGCTTTGAATCGCGCTCAGTCGAATTTGTGGCTTGCTTTGCTCTGCGTTGGTCTTTCGTCCAGTCTGGTTGCGCACAAAATTTGCCTGCTTTAGTCAAACGCCAGCAGTCGAGTAAAGCTGTTTAATAATGTTATTAGTGAAATTGCTTGTGTAAATACCGTCCAAAAGCCGTAAAGGCGTATATAAGCGGACTCGTGCGGATCGGAAGTATCATTTGACATAAAATAACGGACTTGTATAAACCAATTGAAGCCATTAAAAGTTAACCAACAAAATATACATTTTTCATTTCGTTAAATAATTTGTGAGAGCGCGATGGAAGAGAAGTAGGCATATACACATACACATGTATGCACATATTTAGCGATTCTCTCTGCATGCACATGCGTGTGTGGGTGTATTCTGGAGTGATATCTACTTATGCTGTGTGTGCATGTGGTTAGTTGTGCGTTATCTAGCTTTGCATCGCGCTCACACGAATTTTTGTTGTTATTGTGTCAATGTAGAATTTATCGTCTGCTTTTGCTCAACTACTTTTGAATGTCACTCACTCAAGTTCATGGTTTACTTGCTCAATTTGTCCACTCAACAGAACTCGTTTTGGTTAACAGTCGTCTAAAGCTGTTAAAAATATTGTGAGTGAAAATTATCAGGAAAACATGCTATCGTTCGTATGTCGCGTTCGGACTGGTACGGATCGTTAGTAATAAATGTCAATAATTAATAAAACGCATCCTAAAATTTGAACGGAATGGCAATGATTACATCAAACTGTTAGCCAAATCCTAGTAGGTGCTGAAATCAACATTTGTATACTGAGTTCTGTCGAACGTTAAATAACTTTAACGAGCTCCAGAAGGTAAATTCGACAGAAGTCGGCCTTTATTTAACCGATATTAAGTCATTTAATGTTTACAAAATACTAATAAACTTTTCATTTTGTATTTTTCAGGCCATGCACAAGATAATAATCATGGTCCTTGGTACCTAGATGGCCTCTTTATCAATGGATAGACATTTAACAAAATGTCATTCTAAATGTTGACCAAATGTCAAGTCGTTTGGTTCTGAAATAAATTTTTTCTTTGTTCTGCCAATTTTAAGGGCTTTCACGAATCCCTCAAAGTGTGTCTTTCCAAAATAGAAGGTAATATAACGTATAAATTTTAATTTATATAAATTTATTTTTTACTTTGTGTTTTTCAGCCGAATCTGTCACGACCATGAACCCATAAATATTTAGTACCATACGAGTACCTAGATGGCCTATAAATTGTTGCTTATTCCATACCTTGGATACACATTCTAAAATCGCACTCTGAACATTAAAAGTGTTGGGGTTCTGTCGATTTCAAAGACTTTCACTGATCCTTAAAGGTACATCTTTCCAAAAACGGATGTTATACGTAATTGTAGTTAACTTCAACTAATATATTTTCAATTTATATTTTTCAGCCACATCTGCCACGCCCAACGGGGCAAACATATAATCAACAAATAATCGCTGAATTTGGTACCTAGATGACCTATATATCCTTGGTTATTCCATACTAAGGATATAGTCCTAGCGAACCTAAAGGACCGAGTTCCTGTAAAATGAGCAAGAACGTGGTCCAAAAATATGCATGCTTTTATTTACAGGCACCCCGCCCAACTTACAGCCCCATCCCCTGAATGGTTCCTAGTTGACTACCATATCCTTGGTTACACCATGCCATAGATATAGTCCTTGGGAACCTAAAGGAATTATCCCTGCAAAATTTGCATAAAAATGGTCCAAAAAGCCCTAGTACATGAGCTACAAATGCAGCTGTTGATTAACATTCGCCTTTACAGCACTCTTGACATGAGCCGTTTCTTAACATTACTCATTTGAAATGAGTGACAATTCTGGCCCTTGCGGGTATGCAGCAAAAATTTTTATTCGAAGATTTTCGTCGACCTTCTGAGCATTTCTGTTCGCCTGGTACTTGAGCGGAATTTTAGTACAAATTTGGGACCCGGTCCCAGACTAGGGCGCCCCTTTTGGGTATGCAGCAGAAAATTTTTGGAGGCTAAAATTTTTTGTCGACCTTCTGCGCATTTATGTTCGCCTGGTATTTTAGCTGATTTTTGGAAAAATCTCGGCAGCCAGCGGCCGCTAAAGCACGCCCCTTACTGGTATGCAACAGATTATTAACAGCCGTTGATTTTTGATTTTCTTTCCATTCTATATCCTTTGCAATGAATAAAACCACAAAATTTGTTTAATAATTGAAAATAAATTATTTATTTTTTTTTTAAATTAACAAATTTGTTTTTTTTACATGTATTTTCGGTTTTAGCTTAAAATGGCTATATCTAGCTTAATATATGCTCGATCCTGGAAGGAATAGCCTTCTTGGATTGGTAGAGGTCCTTAGAATCAATTAGAGTCCTTGAATCCTTCAATCTGTAAAGATAAACACACATTTGAATTAAAAATGTCATAATAAATATAAAGGTATTTTGAGGAAAGAAATGCCCATAACTCTGGCATATCCTTGCAGATCCTTGCAGGACATGGTGCGTTAGGATCGTGGGGACCAACTGCATCGAACTGCATTAAAACATTATGGGGTCATCTAAGAATCCTGGACTTGTAATTTTTCAGTCGCGGGCCGCAAGGAAAATTGGCCCGAAATCACACAATTACAGTAAAATCGCGATATCTCTGAAACTACAAGGACGATCTTGATGTCCTTTGGCCAGATTGTAGTCCTAGTCAATACAATTGTTTTGACACAGGACTCGTCAGGATACGCCAGGATATGACCGAGTTATAAGCTATTTTCGGTTTACAATTTTGTCCTTAAAACTTTTTTGTCCGAAGGACTTTCGTCCTTTGGGTTGTATATTCGTAAATGGGAGGGTCAGGACTATCTACAGTCCAAAGGACATCGCGATAGTCCTTCAATTGGCGAAGTTAGTCCCGAATTTTTCGATTTTTGGCAATTTTCTGACTAAACCCCTATGAAAAATTTTGGTGAAATTTTTTGTCGAATCTTGGAAATCCTTGAATGCCAATCGATAGTCCTGCTCTCCACGAGTTCAATAAGGTAAATCCTTCCTATATCCTTAAGGATTTGGCCGAGTTATGGCTAATTGAAAAATGTCCTTTTTAGAAAAATAGCCATATCTCTGAAACCACAAGGACGATTAGGATGTCCTTTGGTCAGTTTGTAGTCCTTGTCTATACGATTTGTTTGACACACGACTTATCAGGATCCGCAAGGATACAGCTGAGATATAGCGATTTTAATATACAAAACAAATATTCCTTTATCTTGGCTGTTTGAAGGACCTGCGTCCTTTTTATTACATTTTCTGAATGGGCAAGACAAGGACAGTCTGATGGCCAAAGGACATGCCGGAAGTCCTTAAAATGCCCAAGCTATGGCCAGTTTTGTAAAAGTATCCTTTTTGGAAAAATAGCCATAACCCGGCCATATCCTTGCAGATTTTCGAAGGACTTAGTGCATTAGGATCGTGGGGACGAACTGCATCAAGTGTGTCATCTAAGGATCATGGACTTAGTAATTTATTGTCGCGATGTACTAGGAAACAGACTGAAAACAAAATCCTTCAGATGTCATTAAACGTACTAAGACGATTTGGATGTCCTTTGACCAGCTGGTAGTCTTAGTTATAAGCTTATTTGTGTGTTTTATCTGGTTTGGTTACTTTCGTCCTTGTATAACAATTCAATATTGGAGGATGAGGGCTATCACCCGACTTAAGGACATCGGGACCAACCTTATAGTTTCCGAGATATGCTTATTTTTTTGAAAAGGACATTCTATTTATAGTTATATCTGGAGCATTTCCTTAAGATTATCTAAAGAATATTCATTTTTGAGCTCGTGGAGACCAGGACTATTGATTGGCATGCAAAGGGGTTAGTCAGAAAATCTAAAATATCTGGACTAACTTTGCAACTTGATAGACTATGGGGATGCCCTTTGGCCAATAGATAGTCCTCATCCTCCCATTTAAGAATATGCAGCCTTCAGGACTACAGTTCTTCCAACAGCTAAGAAAATTTGACTTTTAGTTAAACACTAAGCTATATTAAATACTTAGCTGTAACTCGGCTATATCGTATTGGCAATGGCTACAAGCTGGCCAAAGAGGACCGAAATCGTCCTTTTAGTTTCGGATATGTTGATGACTGTGTTTTGTCAATTTCCTTGCGGCCACGACTGAAAAAGTTACCAAGTCCTGGATTCTTAGATGACCCCCTAATATTTTGTTGCAGGTCGATGCGCTTGGTCCTTAAAATCATAACGCAGCACGTCCTTTGAAAAACCGCAAGGATATGGCGGAGCTATAAGCAACCAAAAATTAAAATTAAAATTGGCCTGCAGAAAAAAAATGATTGCATACCTGAAAGGAGCACTTTCGGCAGGCCAAGCGAAATTTACATTATTGTCACAAATGGAATGTCCTTTATAGAAAAGTAGCCAAATCTGGACATGTACAGGGAATATCGGAACGTTCTTCGGCCAATTATAGTCCTTATTCAAAAGAGTTAAGTTTTGTGCCTTGTGAACAAATCACGGATGATAAAGATGTTCTTCTCGAGCCACCTGCTCTTCGTTTGACACAGGACACTTTGGCATCTGCAAGAATGTGATCGAGTTGTAAAACTATCCCTTATCTGGGCTTGACAAAACATGATACTCAGATATAACATGCTTACCAGGGTGTAGGGTGAAGCTGCGTGGAGTCGACCCTACTGGATATCCAACTTAGTCTACAATCTATCCTTATCTGCGCCGGAAGCTGCCAATACCATCGGGGCCCTTGGCCAAAGCAGACGGAAGAGAAGAAGCTAACATTCTTCTTCAAGCTCCACAATGAAAATAGGAGCACGTTATTACACAGTGGACATTGGAAGTCGCGCACTAAATCCGCTCAGTTCGAGCTGGTACAAAGACATCCGGCATATTCAATTTAGCAAACCAACTGTCCCAGAATTGCCTAAAATGATTGGATAATATAATATGGGCTGAGAGGCATTCAAATTATGTTCTTACCTTTTATCCCGGCGAGCAGCCTGATGCGTTGATCCAGTAAATTCAAAGATATCTGCTCCATTGATTTCCAGACGAGGAAAAAAACTGTGAATTCAATTGGGTTCCGTAACGCTAAGACATTTTCTTTATCCTCATGTTGGCAAAGATTCTATCCCAAATATGCCTAAAATGTATGGATATTGCAGTATGAACTGAAAGACATTCAACTTGTGATCTTACCTTTTAGCCCGGCGAGCAGCCTGATGCGCGGTTCCAGTTAAAGCCAAAGATACCTGCCCTCCTGCTTTCCAGACGAGGAGAAGAAAAACTTTATGCATCCACATGGGCTCCTTAGCACGCAGACCTGTTCTATATTGACGCAGCTGCTTACAGTATAAGGACATCCAGGCCAATTATATAAGCAGAGATATGCCGAGATCGCCTGAAATGATTGGATTATGTTATATTAACTGAAAGACCTTTAAGTTATGCTCTTACCTTTTATCACGGCGAGCAGTCTGATATGACTCTTGTCACGATTCTTTCAGACGTACATAGAACATTGTGCGTCCACGTTGGTGGCGAGGTGTCCACGCGGGAATCCTAGCTAAAGAAAGAAGATTATATTTGAAAACTATGATGAAATTATTCTTGAGTATACCCTAGAGAAAGATCCAAGCAATGTTATTTGCGTAATGCTAATCAAAAGTTCTGGTTCGTATGAGTCCGAGAAGGTATATCATTCGAAAATAGGACGGTATTTACCAAAAAAAATTAAACTTTTGTATTTTTAAAATGCTTTAAGCGAATATAAACCACAGCGAAGCAACGCGTCACACTGACTACTCCAGTCAAACTAACATTAAATGAGAGACGACTGTGCAAAGCAGCCGAAATAACGGCGCATAGAAAATAGAGAGAGAGAGAGAGGGAGAGTAAACGATCCCAAGATAAAATCCCTTTCGGAAATACACACTTGCATAAATATATATAACAGAAGATAACACAAACACACAGACATGTGTATGCAGAATATGCCAAATATGTGCATACATATGCATGTGTATATGCTAGCTTGAGCATTATCTTATTGTGCATCGTGCTCTCACGAGTTGCTGCTGCTTAGCGAGCTGATTTTTCGTTGTCCGCTTTGCGCTCGCGCTCTTGATTTAAGAGTTATTTTGACCCCAGTAGCCAATTACACTTTAATTCATGCTGAGAATTGTGCACAGAACCAATTGACTTGAATTCTAACCCCTTGCTTTTTCATAATTAATTTTTTTTTTGCTATATTATGAAAGTTTGGCTTTAATTATTACAATAGCGATATCGTCACTTGGTTGAGTAATCATAAAGTGACTTCTCAATTTGTTGACAAAAAGAGAGTTACCGATTTTCTGCTCAGGCACCATTGTGCATACAGAAATGTGTGTACATATGTATGTATGTATTTTTACTCTCGATTTGCATAATACATACATACATGTATGCACAAATGTCTCGGCGGGCAGAGATTAGAGCAGGCAGATGATCATAAGATAAATTCGTTTTTCAGTGAACGTGATTTAAAGCTAGATAAGTAGATATCACTATAGAGTACAAACACCCACACATATGTATGCAGAGAGAATCGACAAATATGTATGCACGTACGCATGTGACACTTCGCTCTCACTCAATTTTTGATCGCCTTCTAATTTGCTGTGCGCCGGTTCTTTGTCTGGGTAGGTTACTCAATTTAAGTCTGTTTGAGCCCAGTGGTCAATATGCACTGCATACGTGCTGACGATTCTGCATAGCCGCCGGCTCAACTGGGTTTAACAAATGCTTTTAGGGTATTTTTGGGAACCCCAACAAATTGTCGATAGGAGGGTGATACATCAAACCTTTTTTTTTTGAAAGTGACGCTGAGTATTATTCAAGACATTTCGAAAGAATTTGAGGTATAAGCTCTAGAAATGCGTGACACACGCTTGAGAGATTCCCCCACCTGCTGCTGTCCAAGAGCCTTTTAAAGTCAAGCGCGCCCTTAGTTGGGCCCCACAAAAATAACATAAGGGGATTTGGCTGCGCAGCGACAACTACAACAAAATAACCACCAAAACTGACCACAATGCGCTCTTAGGCTTAGCGGCCAGTTACTTTGCGAGGGCGTACCAGCCCGGTTATTTCTTATTTTGTTCATTTTTTAGGGACAAAGGTATGGCTAAGGTTTGTGTATTAAGAGCTTAGTCAATGCCTGTCAGCCATTTTAGGACAGAAGTTTGTGTAGACACAGGCGTTGCCTATATTGTGACGTAACGGTAGTTAAAACACTAGATACTTAGGCGTTGCACACACACACGCAAAACATGCCTAACGTTCCTGTTATGTAATTATGGGAGCTCAGCCCGCAAAAGGGTTCTGCTGCTCAAACATTAGAGTATGAGAATTGCTGGCAAATAGGCAGCTGAAGACGTTCGCGCTTTGTGGATTAACAGGCGCAACAGGAATGCCAACAGCAAAAGGCTAAAAAGTAAAACCAAGCAGCACGTACACACACACGCACACACACACACACTCACAGGAGCAGCCATGACTTTCAATTTCTTTGCAAACTGCGCCGCCAGCTACTTTGTTGCGACACGTGTAAGCGGTGGTGAGGGGCAAGAGCCATGGTTTTATATAGTATTGCGTTAACAAGGCAGACGAGTATGTACCCTAGCTTTGCTGTGGGTTTCGGGTAAAACGGATAAATCTGAGAATTTGAACCGGCAACTTTTCGCTAGCTAGACCAACGCTCAGATTGTCGCTAAGCCATGCAGCATTCTACTAAAATTAGGCACGATTGACAGGTAAAAATTTTATTGTTCAGAATTTAACGCCATTACAGAAATTGTGTATGTTAATGGGGTAGCATATATCTGAAACAAGAAAAGTATATATATTTATTAAAAACAAATCGCGCATTCATTTCTGTTGCATGCTGTGCGCCCTGCAAATTTTTATAGTGTACTTTGGAAGCATCGGCCTCCCAGCGTGTAGAGGGTAGGAGGAAAGGCAAATTGCTGGGAGGGCAAAGCCAGCACCAATATGGCGTAAAGCAAAGCACAATTGGTGGCACCGCGGGCGGTTTTACCGGCGCTAAACTCCTCGCCCGAAACAGTCAAATAAAGAATGAACACAAAGCACGAGAAATTTCGTAATAAAAAATTACACACGCACATGTGTGAAATGTGGGGACGCACCTACCACGTGCCTTCTTTTATGTACGGCAACGGCCAGCGGAAAATGAAATCCGCTTTAGCTATTGCACCTACATGCGACACGACTCTGCTTTGCTCTTCAGCCCATTTTTGAAACAGGCAAGGAATTCAAATTACGTTACGAGTTTTGTTTACAATCGAACTCCAACCCCAACCAACTCTTTGGCGCACACGAGTTATTGAATTGCGCCCTGACAGCGCGGGCTCACCTGTCCGCCCTCACTCCCCGCACCGCACCGCCTCACGATAGTAAAATTTTTATTGGCAACGCGCGGTGCTTTGTTTCGGCTGTCAAGCAATTTTCAATTTGCAGTCTGCTCAAGGCCGAAGGATCGAGTATTTGGGCTCACCTTGCTGGTTGGTTGGTTCGCTGCCTTTCCGCGGAGCACAGCCTGTAACCCAAGACACAAATAGGCGTCTATTCCGATCTTGTTTCGAAAAGTGTCGGGCGTAGCGTTTGCTCCTCCTAATTTCTTTCCAAAGCTTAGCACGTATATAAGCCAAAGGGCCAACAGGCTGGACCAGACGGACCACACCCCAGGGGCCCACAGCCGCCGCATGGTCCACATCCACAACCTCCAGAGGGTCCGCAGCCTCCGCAGACACTCCAGGGTCCACAGCCGGCGCTGCATGGAGCACAGGAATCCCAGGGACCGCATCCGTAGCCACCGCAACCATATCCACACATTGTGAGGTAATTTTTTTAGTGCTGTGTGCGGTATGCCCTTAGTTAAGCCAGGTTAGGGTATATCTCACTCACCTTTGCTTCACAGAAATAGGAACTGGAAATATAAATTATGTATTTTGCCCAAAAATGATGCTGGTATTATTTGGAGTTTTATTATAGAACTTTCAGTCCGATGTGGTTTAGACGAAAGTGCTACAGATAATGAACTATACAAATTTGAACTTTCTCTACGAGGAATTCGAACGGAGTCATGGCTTACTTGGCTGACCACAAGATTATATAAGAAAAACATTTTTAAAAGAAATTACCAAGTATGAATAAAAAATAAAATATGATTATTAACTTGCGCCTCGATTACAATGCCCTATTTTCTAATATTTAACTGGCAGACTAAGCAACTGAGAGGATTGCGATGGATGAAAGATGTTCTTTAAACATCCAGCACATTATCTTGCTTTAACTTATTCAGCTCCCATTTCGCGCTGCTCCTGTAAGTTATATTACTGCAGAGCTGTGCTGGGAGCATCAACTGTAAGCAATCCAAATGAAGGCCCGGGCAGAGTTGGCTTAAGAAAAGAAAGAGAAGCTGCGCGTAATTATTATACCTGGGAGCTCGTTGTGGGGCTTCCAGGAGCTAACGGTGTCAGTTCCTGCAACAGCAACAGCAGCAACAGCAGCTGCAGCAATTTTTACGACGTCATTAACCCAACAAGTAGCTTCCGTTGCTGCCACGAGCCAACGAGGTGGCATCAGCCTGGGTAAACGGGTTAGCCAGACACTGAGTTGCACATTCCGGCAGTGGCAGCAGCAGTGGCAGTGGCAGTGGCAACAGCGGAGCCAGACAGTTATGCGCCAGCAAATATGCAATGCAAAATAGCTACTGGCAAATTGTTTGGGGGCCAGAGAGACATTCTGCACAGCTCGTAATGCACTGCACAGAATGGGGCTAGATTTTTGGGCAGCGGCATATGCTTCATAGCACAATTTGTTACCTGCTTTTTGAAGCTTGCACGTAAAAGGAGCTGCGAGGCTCTTCTTGGCTCTACGCACTGCATTTAAATCAAAAAGTGAAATAAGTTCACAATAACGCACCAGAGTCGAGTCAACGGAAACGCGACTTAAGACATAGGCTTTTTTCGACTAGATCTGTTTGAGTTGCACACTAAAATTTGAGCTGAAATTCAACTGCTTCGGTTGCAATCGATTAGCTCGAACATGTTGCTCTCAAGCGCTGGTCGAACTTCGTTTGAATAAAACGAATCAATGGAGTAATAAAATTGTTGCTGCTCGCAACCCATTAGAGATCTTGAAATGGTCATGGAGGCTAACAATATGCTGATTCAGATCAATTTCGACTTGCGAATTTTTTTGGTGAGTTATTTGCGAATCGATTCGCATAATTTTATAGAATTTAAGAGCGCTTTATATAGCCCAGTTACGAGGGCGCAACTGGAAAATCATCTTTGGCTGTTTATAGGCAAAAGTTTTACAACGTTGCTTAGAAATGATGCAGCTCCTGCCATTTGCTGAAACATAAAACTTGGCTAATGAGCCGCTAAGCAGCAGCCGCGTGGCAAATAAGACCCCAAAGGGTTAACACTAACTACAGCAACAAAAACAACAGCAGCAACAACAATAGCAGCAGCAATAACAATTATAAAAGAAAATGCCGCAGCAGCGGAGCCATGAAAATCAACGACTTAGTCGCACTTGGCTGGCAGCAAGACGTTAAATTTAATAACACAATCGCAAATTGGCTCAGGGTCTTAAATTTATGAAATTTAAATTGAACCAAGCAAATGGAGATGCTCAAATCAAAGCCACCACCCGCTGCGCAGCCTGGTCGCGCAGCAAGCACAAGGGCAACAGCTATGCCGCCCCCCAGTTTTGGCCTTATTGTCCGTCCCCCTGTCCCGGGGGATAAATTAGTGGTTTTGGTCTCTAATATAGTCTTTGTCGTCGTCGTCGTCGTCGTCGTCTTGCGACATTTGTCACCCCTAGCTGCCGCACTGATTTAATATTTATTTTATTAATAGAAAATTAACATAAAAAAATTGCTGAAATATTTTGACACTTGGCACTTCGCATTGCCCTAACGGCTGCTGCTGCTGCTACTGGGGTGGGGCGGGGGTTGATGCCAAGGCTTGCCAAGGGTTGGCTTGTTATTATTTTGACACTTGCCAAACAATTGGCATGCGAAATGAAAACCCAGCTGCCTTAAAGCTGCAACACAAGCAACGACAACAACAACAACAACAACAACAGCTACAGAAGGTGCCAAGCCAAGCCAAGCCAAGCAAAATTTTATTATGGAATTTCGTAAATTAAATATTTACACGACAGCTGTGCGAAGATCTGAAGTTCTTCGCAGGCATCGTGTTGATTCAATATTGAGCTTCAATATAATTGAATTTAATAGCTCGTTGGATGAAGGCTTTAAAATCTGCTGCACAACCACGGCGAGCTGATTGAACTTGGATATTGGCTACAAAATATAATCAGCTAGGAATATGATATACACGTAATGTACACATTAGCTATATTAATAAATATTTTTGTAAGTTGAAGATAGACAATCGGAGACGACGGTTGTAGGAAACATTCATTTCCAGGGCATCTATCTGAAATTATATTTCAGATGTCTTATAATCTATCAACCTGGGCTTAAATTTTGTTCCAACCGGTCTTCTACTTGTTTTTACATTTATTTCTACGGCGAGGAATGGGAGGAAAGCTGAGATTGAAATCCATGTATCGCCATTTTTTTTTTTGACATATAGTCTAATAACTAACTGTAGCCCCATTTTAAAGGTCCATCCGCAGATGCAATCCAATTAGCACGCATTACAATTACGCGCCATAACCAAAGTCAACAGCATTGTCAGGGACTACAAGGAGAATTGTTCATTTCAAAATAAAAATAAAAAGAAAAGTAAATAGAACAGAATGCAAAAGAAAAAGCAAAGGCAATCGAGGGACTCGGTGGGGCGACCAAACGAGCAGCCAGCGTGAAAGCGCGTTGAACGCTGTGTCACTAATTCAGGTAATTTGTCACTTTATTTACATTTGAAATTAATGTTGTTGCTGTTGCTGTTACTATTGTTGTTGTCGGTCGCGGAGAGCAAGAAAAACCGAGAAAACCAATTTCCATTCTCATTTTGTGGGCAACGCAGCGCACAGAAAACAAAACAAATGAGTGACTGACGTGCGGGACGCAGAATGAAGCGGCAGGCGGAATGAAGCAACCCTTTATCTTATGCCCCTTCCCGGGGCCTCACGGCCGAGTCCCGGCCAAGTGTCGAAGCCGAAGGACTCACGGACAGACGGATGGACTCCCGGACAGACGGACAAACGGGCCAGCAGCGGCGAAACCAAGAAATGCGATTAACATTTGAACAGTGGGCAAAAAGACAGCGACGCGACGCCTTTTGTGGCGCGGCACGTTGCACGTTGTTCGTTCCACACGGCGTATGCTTAATTTGAATGAAGTGGCAACGCTGTTAATAGCCCTTGTGCCCTCCTCCTCCTCCTCCTCCTCATCCTCCCGCTTTTACCTATACAGGTGGTGCGCTCAGCTTTTAATGATGCTGTTTACTTTGCATTCGATGTGACAGCCTTCCGTGGAAAAGAATTAGAATTGTGACCCGAGCAAATGTTGGCACAGCAAATATTGCTAAAAAGAAATTGGCAGGAAATTCCTGCCTACTAGCCTACCAAGGTGTTGGCATAGCCATAATATTTAATTAAAAATGCAGAAAAAATGTGCCAGTATATTTAATTGAAAATATAGCTGAGCACTTAATTAAAACATGTTAGGAAAATTATTAAAAATATTCACAGCTTTCTTTGCTCTAATAAATTATTTGAACGAATAATTGCAAGAAAATATTTAATTTAAATTTCGGCATAAATATGCCTAAGCATACATATATAGTTTGAATACCATTTTCTTTCAATTACTTTTCTTTACCCCTTTGAGGAAAAGTCGTCTGTAATGAAAATTTCAATCAGCCAAGCTCGACCCGACAACGTCGACATTTATGAGCAGCTTGTAACATAAATTCTGGCAAAACAGCCAAAGAGAACACACACACACACACACACACACACACGCCCAAGCACAACCACATGCCAGAACTCAGTTGCCCGCTTGCCACACCTTTCCCTTTTGGGTTTTCCACCTGTTCTTTGCCACCTTGTGCCATTGCCACAAATAAAAATAAACACACGTGCGCTGCCGGCTTCATTGCCAAAACGTGTGCCCAGGCGACGCGTCTCGAAGACAATGCCAACGAGCCGGTTGGGCTGGAGGTAAGAGTCTGAGAAAGGATATGTGTGCGCGGTTTTTGCGAAGCCAGAGACAAAGTGCCGCCACAATAATAGTTGAGGAGCAGCAGCAGAGATGTTTTCACATAAATATTTTAAACATGTTTACTCTGCCATATTTTGTAGACCCTGCCATCTAGACGCTGTCTCACCCGCTCATCCTCTCACTCGGATCGGAGCTGCTTCAAACACGCCTGACCACGTACGCTATCAATGTCCAATCTTGGCTGACTTCTTGCCACAATTCCACATGCCACACATAAAACTCAACAAATTTTTGCAACGCAGACGCAAGATGAATTTACTTGGCCCGTCTTGTCTTTTCCGCTTTTCCACTTTTCATAATTTGCTTATTTTATTTGCTTTGATTTCCACTTGCACAGTTGCCAACTCTGCCAAATTTCGGAGTATTTCTCTTCCTCTTCCTCCAGTTTTCTTTTCTGTTGCCATTGTATTTGCCTTGCCCAAAGTAAACAATAAGCTTAAATTGTAAACTGTGTGTATTCATATGAGCCTCTGAATGGGTTATGTCACTCGAAAAACTACAAAAGGATTGTGTTCTCAGTATGCATGTGTCTAGTTGCGGCTGTCTGTGTGAGTTAGGCTGTCTAGAATTGTGTGTTGCAAACGCTACAGTGGAAACAAATTTTAAGAAAACCAACAAATAAAAGCATACATGTGAACCGATTTGCATAGACAGATGCGCTTTTAAAAAACTATCATGTGTATTTTAGCTTGCGAATGCTTTCGGGAATCTGTACTATACCAATTTTGTTGTCCCTAGCTCTTATAAGCATCGAGATAAGGGTGACAAACACGCTTTCGATATCGATATTTATCGATTTAATGAAAACAGGCCATAGAAGAACCTACG